GTTTTTTTTTTTTTTTTTTGTAGTACTGAGAATTGAACCCAGGGCCTTTGCACTGAGCTACATCCCCATCCCTTTTCTGATATTTTATTTATTTTTGGTATTGAGGATCGAACTCGGGTCCCTCTGCTTGCAAGGCAGGCGGCAGAACCACTGAGATGAATCCCTGGCCCTTCTGATATTTTATTTTGAGACAGGGTCTTATCAAGTTGCTAAATAGCCCAGGCTGAGGTGGAATTTGTTAACTTCTTGCCTCCCCCACATCAAATGTACAGCCCTTCCCCAGCCACATCCAGCTGTGGGACAACTGAGTATCAGTAGGTGGGAGGTAGGGTTGGTGGCAGAGGGGGCAGGGCCAGCACCCAACCTGAGCTTCCTGTTCCTGTGCTAGCACCCCCACAAGCAGGTTCAGCCTCTGGAACTTTCTAGGCCCAATTCTCCTGTGCCTGTGGCCAGCACAGGACAGACCACACTAATTGGGTGCTTTCCATGTCCTTCCCTTCTGTTCATGTGCTGGATGGATGTGTATTTCTGTAGTTTTTGCGCCTAGTGATAAGGACAGCATGCTTTGCGCAGGTACATCCTATGTCGTGACCTCCTCCCCACCTGGCCGGACCCTGGTGTGTCATTCACAAACGAGTGCAGGCAGAATGCTCAATGTCCCCAGTGATAAAGTAAACTCTGTCCCCTTTGGGAAGGATATACAAGGCGTGCTTGTAAAATACAGTGAATGTCTAACTTTTAAAAAGTTATTAAGGAGAAATTGAAAAAATGGAAATAAAGTGTTTGTAAATGGGGAGGGGAGGAGAGGGTGAAGGGAGGGCAGGGACAAGGGGAAAAAATGAGAATCAAGACCTATCATGAAAAGGTACAGGATCCCAATAATGAATGTAACTGTACTGTATACCTAGATTGTACCAATAAACTCAATAAAAAAACAGTTATTAAGGACATATTGCCGTGAATCTCCCTCTAAAGCTTCCCCCTCACTTCAATTACACTGATTCTATCCTTCTTGCCATTTTCTGCAGCAGCTCTGGAGGTGAGGGTCTTTCATGAGGGTCTTTAGTTGTGCCATCATGGATGCCTTGATGACCTGAATGGATTCACAATGTTGACTTTTCATGATCGATTTGAGTTTGGAAGAGCCAGAAGTCACATGGTGCTAGATCGGGTGAATAAGGTGGATGAGGGCGTAGCATCATGTTTTTATGACCCTGCCTTTCCATAGGATGGCACTTGGCAGGAAGATTCACCATATTTGTAATCATAAAGACCCGAAAGAGGACTTCCAGAGCTGCTGCAGAAGGTGGAAGAATGACGGGATGCGTGTTTGAAAGGAGGAGAATGATTTTGAGAGGATTAATGGCAATGCGTCTTTTACTGTAATAACATTTTAATGTTTACTGTATATTGTAATCACCCCTTGTACCTTCACAGAGTGCTCATTTATTGGGTGATTTGCTCTTGTGTTTTAGGGGGAAGGGAGTGTAGTCTTCCTCTAGTGGGCTAGGAGACAAATCTTTAAGGCATTGGGATTTGAGAGATAGAAAGCGGGAGAGGAGGTGGATTTGAGAGAGCAGCAAGGCCCAGCCTCATGTCTGCATGGGTTTCTGAAAGGAAAAGGCAGCGAGAAACTTTGTGACAAGTAGGGGTTGTCTGGCGAAACAGCGGCCTCCAGGACAGGAACTTGTTGCCTGCCACACCGGAAACTTCCTCAGGTCTCTCTGCTCTGACAGCCCATGGCGGCAGCATTTCTGGGAGTGGAGGAGAAGTGAGATCCACAGAGCTGTGGGGGTAGAGGACTTGTCCAGAGCCCAGGGGGTGCAGGAAGCAGGGGAGGGATGATGGTGGAGTAAAGGGTACCCTAGGAAGACAGAGCTTCGGGATATGCAGGTCACAGTCATTGTCAAACTCCAGGTCACCACGAGGCACAGGGTATATTTTAGTGGGGTTTTGTTTGTTTGTTTGTTTGTTTTTTACAGTTATAATTTTGGAATGATCATTTACTGTCCTGCTATTCTTTCTTTGTTAGATATTTTTGTTTTGTTTTGTTGTTTGAGACAGGGTCTCACTATGTAGTACATGCTGGCTTTGAACTCACCATGTAGTCCAGGCTGGCCTTGAGTTCATGGCAATCTTCCTGCCTCAGCCTCCTTAGTGCTGGGATTACAGGGTGTGTGCCACCAGGCCTGGTCTATTGTTTTGCTATTTTATAAGAATTTTTCCATCCTAATCTTTTCTCCCCTCTCTGGTACTGAGAATTGAACCCAAGACCTTCTCGCTGAGCTATATCTATATCCCATCCCTTTTTAAATTCTTTATTTCACATCAAGGTCTTACTAAGTTGTTGAATTGCCTAGGCTGGCCTTGAACTTGTGATCCTCTTGCCTCAGCTTCCCAGAGTGCTGGAATTACATTCATGTACCAGCATGCCTGGCTCTCCTAATCATTTTAATGCCACTTCTGGGGCTGGGGCTTTGATGGTATCCTACTCCAAATCCATTTAGGCTAGAGATATAGACTGAATAATAAGCCAGTAAGAGACGCTGACTGATGAGGGTTCCCTATGGGTTCTGGACAGGGGGCAGCAGAGCCCAATAGTTGCTGAGCCTGGGATGCTTCTTGGAGGAGGTGGCCATGCCCTGAGCCTCCTTCCAGGCTCCAATGTTACCTTCTGGATGACCAGAGCCGCCTGGTCCTGACTGAACTTGTGCAGCTTGTCCCGCTGGACCTTCCTATCCCGTTCCTCCTCTCTCCGGATCTCTCGCATGAAGGCAGCTCGGAGCCGGCCCTGCCTCGCACGCTCAGCATTTTGCACCAGGATGATGGCCTCCGTCCTGGGCATTCCTGGAGGGCTCTGGGTGGAAAATGGGAACAGAGCAGGTAACATGAGGGACAAGTGCGTCCAGTATGGGGAGATACCAAAGAACTTGTGGGGGTGTGGTCCTCCCTAGCAAGTGGGGTCTGCAGGCATAGCCTGTGTCCCTGGAGAGGGAGAGGGAGGAGTCAGGGCCTGCCCCCCTTACTTCCTGGATCACCGCTGTCCTGGAAAGGATCTCGGCCAGCTTCTGCTGCCACTCCTTCACTGTGCTGGACTGCTCTAGCTGGAAGTATTTGGGGATTGGGACCTCGAGGTCTGCCTTTGGGACATAGTGAGAGAGAAGGGTCCGGTATGGAATCCCAGCTGTAGGCTGTCAAGCCGTCCATCACCACGTTACCCACCTGCCTGTCTCTTCCCCTCCAGAGCCCTCCAGTGGGAAACTTCTGGGGAATGGAGTATGAGATGGAGTCCCTCAAGGGTCATCCCTTCCTTGCCCTGCACCCACGTCTCATCTGAGTTGAATTTGTTTTTTGTTTTGTTTTGTATTTTCTCTCATTGAGTTTATTGGTACATTTTAGGTATACAGTATCACCATTGGGATCTTGTACCTTTACATAACAGGTCTTGGTTCTCATTTTTTCCCCTTGTCCCTGCCCTCCCTTTGAATTTGTTTTTTATTTTGTTTTTTGAGACAGAATCTTACTATGTAGTTTTAGGCTAGGCTTAAACTCACTATGCAGCTCAGGCTAGGCTCAAACTTGCAGTGATCCTCCTGCCTTGGCCTCCTGTGTGCTGGGGTTAGAAGTGTGCACCAATACACCAGCTTTTCTTCAATCTGCCTCCCATGATTCTCCATGATTCTCTGGAGAATCATGGGACAGTCCGTGGCCCAAATCTGGCTGTGCCTTTATGGGGAGCCCACAGCAGCACAGCACAGCCTAATAAATCTGCTTCTTTTTCCCAAGTCAGGCCAGGGAAACGTTTGAGGCTGTCTTGGCTGGGGGGCAGTAACTGAACCTGGCCTTGGGACAGGACTGGAGTACCTCTGTGCTGTACTTGCAGTAGCTCTGGTGCTCTAGAGCAGTATCTAGAAATTGGCCACACACACAGATCGCCTGAGGGTCTTGTGACAAGGCAGGGGCGGCACTAGTGAGCTCACGGTGCAGCTGCAGATTCCCATGAGCAGCAGGCTTCTGGGTGGTGGCCAGCTGCTGGCTCAGGGACCCCAGCTGGAGGAGCCACAGGTGGACCCTCCTCACCCATGCCCTGCTCTCTCAGGTCTTCTAGACGTGGTGGGCCGAGCCTGACAGCCCTCCCCGTCCCCGAAGACCCCTCCTGAGGCTAGAGCCCACCACCCTCTGGCTGTCACACAGTCCCCACACCAGTGATGTCCACAGTGGGCTAGGGACCTCGCTACACCCTCCCAGCCTGGGTGCCGCTATGCACCGGGGTCAGCCCAAGGTCCTGCAGCACGTGGTCCAAGCAGTGGGTCTCACACAGGTCCACTCGCACCAGCTCATCCTTGAGCTCCAGCACGCGGCCCGCCACACCATCCAGCAGGCGCCGCAGCAGCAGGCGCTTCTGTGGCTGTACCATCTGATCGTAGATGGCATCAAACTGACGCAGCAGCCCCAGGTAGCGCAGGTAGAGCACTGAAAGCTGGTACCGGAAGGCCTGGCGCTCCCGGCTGGGCACCACTTCCAGCAGGACCTGCTCTTGACCCAGCAGCTCTTGCAGAGTCACATGGGAGGCCACCCAGAGGCGCTGGTAAGCACTGGAGAGGGCAGCACAGGGGCTCTGAGCTGTCGGGAGGGACAGCTGCGCCCAGCCTCGAAGGACTGGCTGAGCTTGGAGTCCTAGCAGAAGTGTGGTCCCCCTGGTGCCGTGGACTCTGTGATTGGGGTGGGCAGTAGACTGTGGGGGACCAGACTGGCTCAGAGAAGGGTGGGCTTGGGGTGCTGGCAACCTGGCTGGTGAGCAGGGAGAATGTTGAACAGCATTCCTGTGGCCAGGGCTCTTGTGAGTGGAGGAGTCTGAGACAGACACTGAAATGGCCTAGGATTCTGGCTAGGGAGTGGGGTGAGGGATGGGAGTCCCAGAGCCAGGTGTGGTGGTGCACACCTGTAATCCCAGCGCTCAGGAGGCTGAGACAGGAGGATTGCCAGGAGTTGGAGGCCAGCCTGAACTACGTAGCAAGACCCCGTTTTGGGGCCCTTTGGGACCCCCCAGCCCTCACTCACCCCTCAGACATGGTGCTCACTCCTCACGCTACCCTTTGTGACTCGACTGTGGAACCCACAGACCTCGCTGGTTCTCCTGAGCTGGGGCAGAACAGCCTGTGTTGAAGGTTCTGACCCAGTGTTCTAAGGCTGTAGAATCTGGGTCGTGGGCTGGGGACACCTGTGTAGGAAGGCTTCCCAGGAGCAGCATGTGGAAAGCAGCCCATGGGACTCTGTGGTGATGTTTCTTGTAAGAATGAAACCAATAGCCGTCAGTATTTAAAGTCACTTGTAAACTGACAGGAGGCCTGCTGAGGGAAGGGGAAAGGCTGCTGGGTCTGAGGTCAGAAGATCCTGAAGTCCCCACTGCCCCCTCTGCACCTGGGGCTCCTCTGCAGCCCTCCATGGGATCCCCATTGTGGCGGTGGAGGGCCCAGGGGGCCAGCCTTTGGAAAACAGGAACATTTTACCAGCAGCGGCTGATTCCAGTCAGCCAGGGCCAACTTTTGGCTCAGTGTGAAGTAGGGGCTTATGAATAAGTAAATACATGAGGACCAAGGAGGAAGAGTGAGGTTCTCAGCCCATGGATGTAGTTCACATTGGTCTGGAACTCACTATGTAGCCCAGGCCAGCCCTGAACTCATGGTAAGCCTCCTGCCTCAGCCTCCCAAGTGCTGGGATTACAGGTGTGTGCCACCATGTGCAGCTAAGCAGGTTCTTCTAAACTGGTCAGACCTTCGTGTTTTGTACCTTGAAAATTAGAAGCCGGGCATGGTGGTACATGCCTGTCATCCAAGAATTCTGAGAGGATGAGGCAGGAGGATCATAAGCTCAAACCCAATGTGGACAATTTAGAAACTTAGTAAGACCTCATCTCAAAATTTAAAGAATATATATTTATTGGCCAGGGATTCAACTCAGTCTTGCCTGCCTTGCAAGCTCAAGATCCCAAGCTCAATCCCTGGTATCAAACAAAAAATAAATAAATAAAAATATACATTTATATATGAAAAAGGGCTGGGATGTAGCTCAGTACAAAGGCCCTAGAATCAATTCCCTCATACTGAAAAACAAAAAAACAAAAAACAACACAAAAAGACCTGCACAGCTCCTTCCTTCAGCAGTGCTTACCATACAGGACATCATGCCAGCCTGTGAGAAGCAGAGTGGTCTGACCTTGGAGAAACTCCAAGGTCTGTCAGGCCCAGAGAGGAGAGAGGGGAAAATCCCTAGCCCTGCTTCAACTTGCTACCAAGGAGAATGGTCAAATGCATACAAAGCATTATTACCTGCCACTCACGTAGCACATCCAAGAAACAGTTTTCTTTTTTAAAATTATGTGTTAATATGTGTTTTAATTATGTGTTAAGGCAAGAGATTTAGCTCTGTGGTTCTGCCTGCCATCTGTCTTGCAATCATAAGATCCCGAGTTCAATCCTCAGTACCAAAACAAAAATAGAAACAAAACCAAGTAAAAGTATGTGTTATAGGCCAGGGATGCAGCTCAGTGGCACCATGCCTACCTCTCAAGTACAAGGTTCTGAGTTCGATTCCAGAGAGGGGGGAAAAAGTATGCATTGTGATTCTGCTTGTGATAACTTTAAAAAGTTTGCCTTGCCCAGCCCATACCCTGGCTTCACATCTCTCTTCCCATTCACTTATTCATTCATTCATTCTTTTTTTTTTTGGCAGAACCATGATTCAAACTCAGTACCTTGTGCTTGCCAGGCAGGCGTGGTGCCACTGACTTACATTCCTGGCCCTTTATTCATTCTCATGGTACTTTGGATGGAACCCAGGGGCCGGTGTGTGCCAGGCAGGCAAGCCCTCTGCCCTGGGCGACATCGCAGCTCCACACATCTCAAATCACCACAGTGCTCAGGAACAGGTTGCCCTTTGGTTCTGGCAGGCTGGGGGTCACTTGGAGCAGCTGTGCTTGGTGACAGCTTTGGTGCTCTCAGACACAGAGTGCTTGGTCAACTCCCTGGGCGGCAGCAGGCAGATGGTTGTCTGGACTTCCCGGGAAGTGAGTGTGGCTCAGCCGAGTACTGGACCAGCTGGGCAGCTCTCCCTGCCAGCTGTTGAAGACATCGTTCACAAAGGAGTTCAGGATGCTCATGGCCTTGGCGGAGATCCCAATGTTGGGGTGCACTTGGAGAAGCAGGCCTGGGGTGTTAACAGGGCTCACCCTACACCATAGCCTCCACTCTGCCTGAGCTGGGGGCGCCAGGCAATCAGAGACAGGGGCCAGCAGAGAGCGAAGTAGGGATTTGTGTTTTCTTTTCACTGCCACAATCACTTGCCGCATAATGACGTTTTGGGCAACAGACCGCATATATGACAGTGGTCCCATAAGACTAAATTGCCTAGTGATGGTTGCAGCCATCTCAGCTTGTGCACGGAGACTATGACGTCCCCACAGGGATGAAATTGGCTAATGATGCATTTCTCAGAACGTGTTCCCATCATTACAGGACACGTGGCTATATAGCGAGGTTAAAAAGAAAAAAAAGCAGTTTCTCCACCTGCAGAGTAACACTATTAAGTTCCTTATATAAACACTCATAAGCTTCCGTGTTCAACAAATGGGGCCAGGTACACGTGCCACCAGCTTTTGCACTGAGTGCACTGGGATGGCAATCATGGTGTGGCTGCATCTGAGTTCCTATCACCATTCCCTTCTTAGTGGACATTTTTGGGCTTGCTGTCTGCTGTTAGACTGCACCATAGGAAATCTGCATCATAGAACCCTGCATGAGTTTAACAGGTAATTCCTATGGGTGGGACAACTGGTCAAAGGGTTTGTGCACTTAGCTGGGGAGACAGTTACCAAGAACCAGATGTCACTGAGGTCGGGAGACTGTCATCTGGGCCAACCATCTGTTACTATGACCTTGAGAAAGGCACTTTCTCCTGGGCCTGTTTCCTTTTCTGTCACTCAAGCCTTGAACTGGGTGATCTCTAGTAACACAAAGGGTAGGAACCTGGTGAGGACCTAAACTGCAGGCAGGTGGACAGCGGGGGTAAAACAGCTGCCATGGCCCATGCCAAGCCAATGGGGAAGGCAAAACTAGAACTAGGCCAGGCTCCTGATGCCCAACCCCTGTTGTCCCCACTGCCTCTGGTGGCCACTGCCAGTAGAAGTCTTCAGCAGTTCAAGGCTAAGTTAGCCCAAATCCCGTCACTACCACAACGAGTCCTTAAGGGTACTGGGGTGAGTGTTCACAGGCACCTGCTGCTCCCAGTCCAGGCCTGGTCTAACCTTTTCTGCAGTTGGAGCCCTGAAATCTGGCTAAGCCCCAGACAGCTCCCACTCTGGAATCTAATTTACTGCAGGGGCAGGAATTTTAGACAGGCTGGGAGCCTTAGCACCCCAACACAGCCACCTGTGCCTTTTCCCACTCTGATGAACAGATGGCTCCTTGGCACTCCAGTGTGTTTTCCAAGGTGCCGAATCCTGGGACCCCTGCTTCTCATGAGTGAATGACAGGCACCTGCAACCAGGTATCAGGGCAAAGGCCATGCAGGAAGGATCCCAGGGGCTTGCCCAAAGCCAGAGCTGCCCAGGTGGGCACTGCCACTAGCAGGCCATGTGACAACTGTCACATGGAGTCTCTGTGCACAAAGGGTCTTCATCTATAAAGTAGGCAAATTCTGGCAGGTGTGGTGGTGCATACCTGAAATCCCAGCACTAGAGAAGCTGAGGCTGGAGGATTGCCCTGAGTTCGAGGTCAGCCTGGGTTGCATCATAAGTTTGACCAGCCTGGACTACATAGCGAGATCCTATCTCAAAAAGAAAGTAGTCAAACCCTAAGCCTTTAGAGCCAGTGCCTCCAGTCTGGGCCTTCCATAAGACGCAGGGTGCTCATCCGCACTGGGGCCATGACGTGTTCGGTAGCAAGTCACACTCAGCCTGTCTCACCCCAGACTCTACATCATACCTCTGTGCCCAGTGCCTGTGATGCTCTTGGAGGGGTGGGAGCATGTTGTAAATGAGAGGTGATCAACCCAGTCTCTGTGCCCGGGCCAGTGCCCTGCTGGGACACCTGAGTCAGCATCTCCCTGCCCTCCCCTGCTTCAGCACCTTGTAGATAAGCATCCAATAGGTTTCCTAGTGCTGGCCCTGCCTCCTGGCCTTGTCTGCAGAGCTCCCCCTCCCGTGGCCACAGACTTGTTGCCGCCCACACCCTGTGCTCATCCTCCTCCTCTTCACCAGCCCCTCCCATGCCTTGGAGCCACTTTGATGAAGCCAGGTGCCCAGCCGGTGGGCCCAGGGCCGAAGGGTGGGTGGAGGCGGGGCCTCCCACAACATACTGTGGCCTGATGAAAGACTAAACTCCTCTCCAAGAACTTTCTTGTCTGGGATGCCTCCTCCAGCTATCTTCCAGGGTATCCAGGCACTTGCTGACATTAACCCAACTCTAGCCCACTGACTTACAATCACGGAGCACACACTGCTTGGCACGGCTTTGGAGAAGGACCATGGGTTCCATCTCCACACAGCCCTACAAGGTTGGAGAGACAAGGCTGACTGGCATTCACCAGTCAGGGAAGAGTGCAGGCAGCAGGAGGCCTGCACGTGGGGATTTAAAGCTGGCCTTGTAGGGTGAGTTGTGATCTAGTTGGGAAGAACAGAGGGAGGAGTGAAAAACCAAGTGCAGTCAATGGCTGGGTTTAACGAGGTTTAGGCTAACAGAGATGGGTTGGCCCTGTGGGCAAGGCCTGGGCCAGACGCAGACAGCAGGAGAGCACTTGGGGTTAGAGACTGCACAAGGGGCTGCTCAGGACTGGAGGGCCAAGGGCAGAGGGGCAGCAGCAGCTGTCCAGGGTGCAGAGCTCAGTTGCAGAGAAAGACTGCTGTGCAATGGAGAAGTGAATCATCTCTCACTCAGCACTTACATCTGAGGAAATACTTCAGATTCTCCAGTGCTGTGATTAAAGAAACCTGGAGCAGCATGAAAAGTAGCCTTGGGGGAAAGAGGATATTCTAAATTAGGAAGAGGTGGGAAAGTGAGCCAAGCACCACCTGCCAGTGTGGAAGGTAGTCCCCGCCCGGTTCCCAGCATCCCGCAGCAACATCACAACTAC